GTGGTAGTGGTTGTGGTTGTGGTTGTGGTTGTGGTTGTGGTTGTGGTATTGGTAGCGGTAGTGGTAGTGGTAGTAGTAGTAGTAGTAGTAGTAGTGGTAGTAGTAGTAGTAGTGGTAGTAGTGGTAGTGGTGGTGGTAGTAGTAGTAGCAGCAGCAGTAGTAGTAGTAGGTAGTAGTAGTAGTAGTAGTAGTAGTAGTAGTAGTAGAAGTAGATGTAGTAGCAGTAGTAGTAGTAGCAGCAGTAGCAGCAGCAGTAGTAGCAGTAACAGAAGAAGAAGTTTCAGGAGTAGTGTAGAAGTAGTTGTAGTTGTAGTAGTGTAGTGCAATGTAGCGTAATATATTTGCATTTGTACTTGTAGTTGTAATTGTAGTTTGGTGTAGTGGTAGTGGTAGTGGTAGTTGTAGTTGTAGTTGTAGTTGTCTGTCTATCTATCTGTCTACCTCCAAGCTTGAAAACGAAGCTATTCTGCGAGATTTCCTCAATTTTTGAACTTGACAACATCAAAAGCGGAGCAATTCTGCGAGACTTCGTCAATTTTTCAAGTTGGCAACACCAAAACCGAAACAATTCTGCGAGACATCCTTCATTTTCTAGGTTGACAACATCAAAAACGAGAAAAAATGTGGGAGACTTCCTTAAAAAATGGAAAGTTGACTGCAGAAGTTGACTGCAGAGCTCACCGCCTCGTGCCGAGGCGATTTTGCGATTTTTCCACTCCATCTATGTAAAGTGTCTGTGTAAAATGCTGCGCCTGCCAGGAAAAAGTGATGCCAGGTCATACAAAGTGCCGCTCCCGTCACGCACATCTTAGCAAACCTGACGATCTGATGCTCCAAAATGCCACGCGAAACGCATCTTTGCAGATCCTCCTCAAATGACTCATGCTACAAACCCCCACGTTTTGCTCACTTTTGACAAGGTGCAGACTCCCTTGCCCCGGCCACGCGACACGACATCTGAACGTCCAAGGGGGCCGTCAGTTTTTTGCACTTTTGCCTGGAAATGTGCTTCGGGCCACAATGGCGTACACTTTGTCGACATCTCAACTTCCAAAAAAGCTTCGAGAAAGGTGTGCTTTGTACATTTTGACTTGGAAACTGCTTCGCGCCACAACGCCGTTCACTTTTTCGACATCTCAACTTCCAAAAGAGCTCCGTGAATGGTGTGATTTGTGCGTTTTGACTTGGAAATCTGAGACCATCAATTTTCTACACTTTTCACTTCCAAATATGCTTGGCGCCACAACGGCTTGCACTTTTTCGACATCTCAACTTCAAAAGTGCTCCGAGCATGGTGTGCTTTGTATGTTTTGACTTCGAAATTTGCTTCGAGCCACAACGGCGCGCAATTTTTCATCTCTCATCTGGCCAGATGGCTCCGCCGCTTTAGCGAGCCTACTTTTCGACCCTCCGGAGCCACAAATCATTGGAAAAACACAGTGAATCGCGACTTTTCTACCTTTTCGCGCACCTGCACCTTCTTTCCTCTGACTCTTTCTCTTCTCTGATCTTCTATCTTCTTCTCTTCTCTTCTCTAACTCTTCCCACCTCTGCTTTTCCATCTGTCCATATTGCCGGAAGTTTGACTTCTAAACTTCCTTCGACAATGAAACTAGACGACGGTTGGCCCGAGAGCGAAAAAGACTTTTTTCAAGCAGCTCCGAGTATGGTAGTTGTAAAAAATAGTCGGTGAATGGTTTGTGAATTTTTTATGAGCTATGGAGGGATAAGTTGTGAAAAGTAAGATTGATTAAGAAGAGGATACATGTGACAACCCATGCATATGCACTGTGCTGCTTGGTAAAGGGCATCATATGACACATATCTTGCAACCACAGAGAGACATAGATAGAAAGAAATAGGCTTTTACACACAGACGCCTTTACACACAGAAGCTTGTACACACAGACGCTTTTACACACAGACACCTTTACACACAGACGCTTTTACACACAGACGCTTTTACACACAGACGCTTTTGCACACAAACACTTTCACACACAGAGGCTTTTACACACAGAGGCTTTTACACAAAAACGCTTTTACACACAGAGGCTTTTACACACAGACGCTTTTACACACAGACACTTTTACCCACAGACGCTTTTACACACACACACGCTTTTCTTTTACACACACACACACACTTTCACACACAGAGGCTTTTACACACAGACGCCTTCACAGAGACTTTTACACACGGACGCTTTTACACACAGAAGCTTTTACACACAGACTCCTTTACACACAGACGCTTTTACACACAGAAGCTTTTACACAGAGGCATTTTTTACACACAAACACTTTCACACACAGAGGCTTTTACACACAGAAACTTTTACACAGAGGCTTTTACACACAGACGCTTTTACACACAGACGCTTTTACACACAGACACCTTTACACACAGACACTTTTACACACAGACGCTTTTACACACAGATGCTTTTGCACACAAACACTTTCACACAGATGCTTTTGCACACAAACACTTTCACACACAGAGGCTTTTACACAGAGGCTTTTACACACAGACTCCTTTACACACAGACGCTTTTACACACAGAAGCTTTTACACACAGACGCTTTTACACACAGACACCTTTACACACAGACATTTTTACACACAGACGCTTTTACACACAGACGCTTTTGCACACAAACACTTTCACACACAGAGGCTTTTACACACAGAGGCTTTTACACACAGAAGCTTTTACACACAGACTCCTTTACACACAAACGCTTTTACACACAGAAGCTTTTACACAGAGGCATTTTTTACACACAAACACTTTCACACACAGAGGCTTTTACACACAGAAACTTTTACACAGAGGCTTTTACACACAGACACTTTTACCCACAGACGCTTTTACACACTAGACAAGAGTGGATCTTTTAAGAGATCCGATGGGAAGTGAATCCCCTTCCGGTTCTTGGCTTAGCCGGTTGCCATGTCGGAGGAATGAAATCAAGACCCTAGAAATTCAAATTGAACTGATGCAAACACAGCACGGCGGTTAACAGAAACTGAAGTCAACAGTTCAACTTATCAAGAACAGGTACGTGATCGAGGCGTCCCTCAATCATATCCTGACGAATGGCTGGAGCTTCGCTGGATCAGGCCAGGCCAAACGTCCCTGATCCCCCTGCAATGTGGAAAGAGGAAAAAAAGAAAAAGGAGAGGTTTTACATCTATTCAGATGTTACACACACACACGCACTAGATTGGAATGGATCATTGTAGTGATCCGACAGGAACTGAATCCTGTAACATGCAATTAGATTAATTAGTGATATATATATATATTATATTATATTATATTATATTATATGGGACTATGGTGACCACCAGCTGCGACTTAAATGCGCCCAGGTGCGTCACCAAAGTCCCGCAGGTACGTTTACACAGGTCCCGGGGGGTGTCTTCGTTGATCACCGACCCCCTGGGACCCCGGTGATCCCCTGCCATAAATTGTATTATAATATCGTATAATACAATATAAAGACGAAGGGTACAGATTGTACCAGAAGTTTTACGTCTATTCAGACGGTACACACACACACACACCCTGCCTCCGGCAGGGTGGTGCGCGTAAAAATGAGATGAAGATGAGGATGAACGGGGGATGAAAATGAGATGAGAATGAAAATGAGATGAACGTTACTTAACCAGGACGCGAAGAGGGGAACGCAAAAAAAGAGGGAAGGAGCAAACACACACCAACACACCTAGCCCGGAGCGGGCGAACCCTGAAAAGGCAAGGGAAGAGGAAAAAGCGGAGGGTCGACGGACACGGACCAAGACCAGAGGAGGGGGGGGGGAAGACGGAAGCGCCTGAACCAACCTGACGCAGCGAAAACCTACAAAAACCTCAGCACGCGACGGAACCCACCTACCTGGGGAGGGAAGAGAGCGTGAAATAGGGGACCAATGGGGAACTAGTTGGTGAAAAAACAGAAAAACTGAAAACAGGACTCAGTTCCTAACTACCTAGGTGTCGTGCGTTATTCCCTTGCCGGGACCGTGGTCAACTCTTGCCCCAATTGGCATAAACGGCTTTCAAGTTCCAACGAATTAGGTGCACAATATGTTTCACCTCACCAGACAACCATCAAAAGAAAAAGACCACACCTGAAAGTCGTGTGCCTGCCTGGATCCTTGTGCATGTTGTAATGCCACTGACATGACAAAAGCTGCAAGCGTAAAAAGAAGTTTTTGACTGTTCGGAGCGGCTTCACTTGAAAGAGTGCAGATCACTGGGATCCCTGGGACATCCGGAGCCGCAGGAAATCTCAAAACGGCTGAAAAACCGTAAGGCCCACTGTTTCACTTTACTTAAACGAATTACCAGAGTAAAATGTGTGAATTCGGAATTCAAGTCAGTCGACACTCACCCCAAACAGGGTTGCCTCAATTGGCCCTAAGGCACCATGTCGGAGCCACCATAGGAATCACACTAGATTGGAATGGATCACTGTAGTGATCCGACAGGAACTGAATCCTGTAACATGCAATTAGATTACTTAGTTATATATATATATTATATTATATTATATGGGACTATGGTGACCACCAGCTGCGACTTAAATGCGCCCAGGTGCATCACCAAAGTCCCGCAGGTACGTTTACACAGGTCCCGGGGGGTGTCTTCGTTGATCACCGACCCCCGGGACCCCGGTGATCCCCTGCCATAAATTGTATTATAATATCGTATAATATAATATAAAGACGAAGGGTACACATTGTACCAGAAGTTTTACGTCTATTCAGACGGTACACACACACTTGCTCAGAAACACACACACACACCCGGCCGGGACCGGGTAAACCCTGAAAGGCAAGAGGAAGAGAAAAGCGGACACAAACGACGGGCCAAGGCCGAAACAGCGCAGGACCTCCAGAACCAACCTACACGGCGAAACGGACCTGACAAACACAGAGCACACACCTGAACCTCACAACACATTACCGAGGGGCACGGGGGAAGAATTAGGGACTGAATGGGGGACTATAGTTGATGACGACAGTGAAAAAACAAAGTTATTAAAGGGATTCAGTTCACTGCTAGTTTACAAAGTCGTGCATTATTCCCTCAAAGGGACCGTGGTCAAGTCAAGCCACATGGGCATAAAAAGGCTGTTCAAGTTCAAGCGAATTAGATGCACGAAATGTTTTACCTCACCAGACAACCATCAAGAGAAAAGATCACCACACCTGGAAAGCGTGTACCTGCCCTGCATGTTGTGAAATGTTTCAAAAGCTTGAGCAGCAGCAAAACAAAAATGTTTCTGGTTGTTCAGTACGGCTGCCAGTACACAGAAGGGCAGAATCACAGCGGTCTCCAGGGACAACAGGAACGGCAGGACATCATAAAAGGTGAAGAACGGAAAGCCCGACTGTTACACTTTACTTAGATGAATTACCAGATTAAAATGTGTGAATACAGAAGTCAGGGCAGTCATCAGTCACCCCAAACAGGGTTGCCTCCAGTGGCTCCATGGCACCATGTCGGAGCCACCATGGATATTACACTAGACAAGAGTGGATCTTTTAAGAGATCCGATGGGAAGTGAATCCCCTTCCGGTTCTTGGCTTCGCCGGTTGCCATGTCGGAGGAATGAAATCAAAACCCTAGAAATTCAAATTGAACTGATGCAAACACAGCACGGCGGTTAACAGAAACTGAAGTCAACAGTTCAATTTACCGGCGGCACCGCCCCCGCCTTAAGAGAGAGATAGAAAGAAGAGCGAGAGAAGATCTGCAGATGTGAAGGTGTGAGGAAGTAGATCTGCAGATGTGAAGGTGTGAAGATGTAGATCAGGAGATGTGAAGGTGTGAAGATGTAGATCTGCAGATGTGAGGGTGTGAAGATGTAGATCAGCAGATGCGAAGGTGTGAAGATGTAGATCAGCAGATGTGAGGGTATGAAGATGTATTATAACGGCTGCTTTTTTACGAAGAACCCTTCGCAGGCGCTCTCGGGAAAAAGGCACTTAATGAAAATAGCGCTACGTATTGCTGACCAACAGCAGCTGATGTTTTCCAGTGAAGGCCTTGTCTGGCAATGCTGATGATGCTGATGTTTCCGAGCGGCCCGGGTTCACAATGCAGTGGGCGAAAGGCTCCGGCAATGCAGCAGTTTCAAGGATTGGCCCTTGCGGACCATGCCTGCAATTTCTCCCAGAAAACGGATTCACCAGGGGTACTAAAAAAATTGCTACAACAGCAAATTTGACATATCAAACATCGAACATGTGGCCCAGGTTGAAAGAGAGGCAATTGGGCTTAAACGGTTGACCTGCTTGGTGGTCATTTCAAAAGTGCGACCGAACGCCCCAGGAACCGGAAGCCTTGCCAAAAGCAAATCTGAATTGTCATGACACAGAGCCGCATATTCAGAGGAGTCTGCCCGTATCTTCCAGCCTTGAGAAGCGGCCCACGAAACAAATGAATAGAAAAGATTCAAAATCAACTTGAAACATGAAGGGGAGGGAACATGATGAAAAATGAAGGGTTGCTTTGCCAAGAAAGGGGCAGTAGGCAAAAATCCTAGGGCTTCCAGCTGGCACGCCAATCATGAAATTACCCAAATATCCAACCTCATTACACTTCAAATCATCTAAACTTATCTAAATGTAATCTCTCAATCCCTCCACAATCCTATCAATCAATCTTTGCACTTTGTCAGATGCGGATGGTTTTGGGCCAGTTGTAAGCTCCTGGAAAAATATACACGTGAGTTTACCTTTGATACTGATTGCTACTGATCGCCACGTGTCCATGTGCCGATTGTCCACGCCCGATGCTTGTGCTATGCTTGTGTCATACTTCCCCCTCCGAGCGCCCAACATCCCAAAATGCTTCCTGCCACCAGGTCCCATCCCTCCACGGTGGTACCACGGAGAAGCGTCAAGGTCTGACAGCCTGACGGAATCCACATCAATCGCGCTACCTCACTACCTATCGAGCCGAGCCCATCGGAGCCCATCAAAGCCCATCGGAGCGCATCGAAGCACATCGGAGCCTATCTGAGCCTATCGTCTTTTATCTGTCGTGGCACATCGTGGCCACTGTATTGCCAACTTTCATACACTGTGATGACAATAGCAATGCCCCGAAATGCTCAAACACAAAGAAGCTGCCGAGTATTGTTGGCCCATCTTCGAGTGGTACCCCGGCTATCTGCCTGAGGAGGTGTCGAGGTACAATGCCTGCACTTTTGGTCTCAGCTGTCCACCATCACTGCCTGCATCCAGTCCCTTCATTGCACTTTGTTTCTTCAGCTTGAAAGGAAGATAGCAAAGAATATCGGAAAAATATGAAGCAATGCCCGAAGCATATTCGAGCACATAAAAGAGCATAGGTGAGTGAAAACCTCATCTTTTTGTCATGGTCCACTTTCCCTGCCTGTTTCATCTGCAGCCGCCTCCTGGCAAAGTCCAAATACAGGATACAGGATTCAATACTCTTGATATGTTTTTCCTTGTGTTTCTGTTCTTGCAGTTTGAGGCTGTGTTTGCTTACTGCGAGTTGCCCTCGAGCATGTGACGCCTCACTGCAGTTGGGATGCACCGCAAATTTTCGATGTAGCTGCCAGGCGCCCCTCGTGTTTTCAAGCCCAGAAATGACAATGCCTCGTGGCACTGGAAATTGGAGCGCGTCGTGACACAGCGGTTCGACAAGTACAAAGAGATGTTAGAAACGGCGAAGTCCACAGAAGTTGACGGGCAAGGCAAGTGCAGCTAAGGTGCGTTCACCATCCCAAGCTGCCAGAAGAGCTCCTTTCTGCTCAGGTGCAGCAGCAAGCAACTGCCATGAATCAGGGACCTCGACTGGGAGTGGTTGAAGCGCCGAAGTGAAACAGCAAAGCAAAATGCAACAGTAGACAAAGTGAAAAACTGGATAAATACAGCCCGTTGTCATACCTGTTCCAATTACAGTACAGCAATTTTATGTTCGTTGCAAAACGGTTCCCGTCGTGCACGAACAAAAATTTGCTATAATTGGAACAGATATCTGGAAAATGACATGTGTGTGATCTTGCGTTTGCAACTCCAAGATGCATCCAACCATGCAAGTGACTCCTCACCGCGGCCCAACAATACTCACAAGGCACTCTCGTGTGAATATGTAAATAACTATACATATATATATATATATATCATACAAGGGACTATAAAATACAAAGGTACGAACGTTTTTTAAAGAATGCTATAAATAGACATCGCACTAACTACTCTATTTATAGACTAAATCCATGTCTAAGTACACATGGTGATCTATGTACACATACAGCAAACACTTAAGAAACACGTTCCAAATTACCCCGGCAAGAGACCCTGTGGGGGAGTGGGAGCATATGTATGATAATGTAAAAACGATGATCATGACGATGATGATGATGATCATCATCATCATCATGATGATGATGAGGATGCTGATGCTGATGCTGATGCTGATGATGATGACGATGATGATGATGATGATGAACATGTTGCGGAAGATGAGGTGAAGGATGATGATGTGGAGGATGATGATGTTGAGGAGGATTGAGGACGAGCATGATAATGCGGAAGATGATGTTGAGGATGATAGGGTGGAGGATGATGATGCCGAGAAGGAGGAAGATGATGATGTGACGGGTGATAATGTGGAGGAGGGTGATGATGATGTTGAGGATGAGAATGTTGCGGAAGATGAGGTGGAGGATGATGATGTTGAGGATGAGGATGTGAAGGGGAAGAAGATGATGATGTTGAGAATGATGATGTTGAGAAGGATGATGTTGAGGAGGTGGAAGAAGATGATGTAGAGGATGATGGTGATGTTGGGAATGATGAGGTGCAGGATGATGATGCTGAGGATGACGAAGTGGAGGATGCTGATGTTGAGGATGATGGTGTCGATGATGTTGAGAATGATGATGTTGAGGAGGAGGAAGATGATGATACTGAGGATGCTGAAGTGGAGGAGGAGGAGGAGGAGAGGGAGGAGGACCGATCCCAAGACCACGCTGCACGTTTTGTGCGAGCTTGCCGGGTCGAAATACACCTGGACATGTCACAAGAGCTGCCTTATCGAAGGAAGTTTAGAAGTCAAACTTCCGACAATATGGACAGATGAAAAGGAGAGATGGGAAGAGTAAGAGAAGAGAAGAGAAGAGAAGACAAGAGAAGAGAAGAGAAGAGAAGAGAAGCGAAGCGAAGCGAAGGGAAGGGAAGGGAAGGGAAGGGAAGAGAAGAGAAGAGAAGAAGAAAGAAGCTCAAAAAGAGAAAGTCTCAGAAGAAAGAAGATCCAGGTGCGCGAAAAGGTAGGAAAGTCGCAAAACACTGCGTTTTTCCGATAATTTGTGGCTCCGGAGGGTCGAAAAGTAGGCTCGCTATAGCGGCGGGTGCGGAGCCACCTGGCCAAATGAGAGATGAAAAATTGCACGCTGTTGTGGCGCGAAACACGCTTGCAACTGAAAAAGCTAAAGACACCTCACATTCGGACCACTTTTGGAAGTTGAGATGTCGAAAAAGTGCACGCCGTGGTGGCGAAGCGCATTTCCAAGTCAAAATGCACAAAACACACCATGTTCAGACCGCTTTTCGAAATTGAGATGTCGAAAAAGTGAACGGCGTTGTGGCGCGAAGCACATCTCCAAGTCAAAATGCACAAAGCACACCATGTTCGGACCACTTTTGGACGTTGAGATGTCGAAAAAGTGAACGGCGGTGCGCCAAGCATGTTTGGAAGTGAAAAGCGTAAAACACACCATGTTCGGACCACTTTTGGAAGTTGAGATGTCGAAAAAGTGAACGGCGTTGTGGCGCAAAGCAAATTTCGAAGTCAAAATGTTAAAAACACCACCTGCTCGGACCACTTTTGAAGGTTCAGATGTGGTTTTGCGCAAGGGATTGTGCACCTTGTCAAAAGTGAGCAAAACGTGAGGGTTGCATTTCCAGAAAAAAAACGATGGCAGGCGTGGGACACTTGAAGAGGATCTGCAAAGATGCATTTTCCGTGGCAGGCGCAGTACAAGAGACATGTTCATCAGAGTTGTTAGGAGGTTCGGGCGCTGATTTCCTGCGAGGGGTTGCATTTTGGAGCATCAGATCTTCAGGTTTGCTGAGATGATTTCGCGTGACAGGTGCAGCACTTTGTATGACCTGGCATCACTTTGTCGTGGCAGCGCAGTACTTAAGACAGGTGGAGTGGAAAAATCGCAAAACGCATTGGTACGAGGCAGTCAGCTCTGCACTCAATTTTCCATTTTTGAAGGACGTCTCGAAGAATTGCTTCGTTTTTGATGTTGTCAAGTTCAAAAATTGAGGAAGTCTCGCAGAATTGCTTCGTTTTGGATGGTGTCAAGTTCCGAAATTGAGGAAGTCTCTCAGAATTTCTAATTGAGGAAGTGTCGCGAAATAGCTGCGTTTTCAAGCTTGCAAATAGACAGACAGACAGACAGACAGACAGACAGACAGATAGATAGATAGATAGACAGACAGACAGATAGATAGATAGATACATAAGATAAGATAAGATAAGATAAGATCAGATACGATAAGATAAGATACGATAAGATAAGATAGGATAGATAGATAGATAGACAGATAAATAAACAGAAAGACAAATTAATAGATAAACAACACCTAGATAGACAGATAGATAGACAACTGCATCTGCACTACACCACACTACAACTTCAACTTCAACTACAACTACACTACCACTACAACTACAACTTCAACTACACTTCAACTACAAGAACTACAGCTACAACCACAACTACACTTCAACTACACTTCAACTACAACTACAACCTCAACTACAAGTACTACATCCAGGAGTTGAGGTGACCACACTATCCACTGCAACGATTGCAACCACTCCAAAAAATACAACTCCAACCACCTTTCGGTCCATCAGTGAATTCGCTCTGCCATCCGTGATTCACAACGACCGACCTCTCCTATAGGTTTCCTATTTCTGAAACTTCCGCCACCGCCTTGTGCGGTACTACTGGTACGGAAATTTACAAGAAAAATGCCGCGCCCCAGATTGAGCCCAGAACGCAGACACACACTTTGTGTGAGCCTGCGCAGTCGAAGTGCAGTTCAACATGTCAGAAGAGCACTCACTCACTCACTCAATCACTCACTCACTCTCACTCCCTCCCTCCCTGCCTCCCTCCCTCCCTCACTCACTCTTTTGCGTGGCAGGTGCGGCACTTGGCGCTCTGCAAGGGCTCGGATGTACGCCCTGGCATTTCTTGGTCTCCGCAGCTCTGCCGGTGGCTTTTGCGTGGCAGGTGCGGCACTTGGTGCTCTGGAAGGGGTCGGATGTACGCCCTGGCGTCCCTTGGTCTCGGCTTTTGCGTGGCAGGTGTGGGACTTGGTGCACTGCCAAGGGGTCGGTGTACGCCCTGGCGTCCCTTGGTCTCCGCCGCTCTGCCGGTAGCTTTTGCGTGGCAGGTGTGGCACTCGGTGCTCTGCAAGGGGTCGGATGTACGCCCTGGCGTCCCTTGGTCTCCGCCGCTCTGCCGGTGGCTTTTGCGTGGCAGGTGCGGCACTTGGTCCTCTGCAAGGGGTCGGATGTACGCCCTGGCATCCCTTGGTCTCCGCCGCTCGTCGCTCTGCCGGTGGCTTTTGCGTGGCAGGTGCGGCACTTGGTGCTCTGCAAGGGGTCGGATATAGGCCCTGGCGTACCTTCGTCTCCGCCGCTCTGCCGGTGGCTTTTGCGTGGCAGGCGTGGGACAATGTGCACTGCCAAGGGCTCGGATGTACGCCCCGGTGGCTTTTGCATGGCAGGCGTGGGACGATGTGCGCTGCCAAGGGCTCGGATGTACGCCCCGGTGGCGTTTGCGTGGCTTAGAAAAATGAATTGATTGATTGCGTGATTGCTTGATTGCTTGATTGCTTGATTGCTTGATTGCTTGATTGCTTGATTGCTTGATTGGTTGGTTGGTTGATTGATAGATAGATAGACAGATAGATAGATAGATAGATAGATAGATAAATAGATAGATAGATAGATAGATAGATCAATAAGATAGATAAGATAGATAGATCAATAAGATAGATAAGATAGATAGATCAATAAGATAGATAAGATAGATAAGATAGATAAGATAGATAAAATTGATAAGATAGGTTAGATATACCCCCAAAAAATGGCCTGGGGGGGTTGGGTGTCCCCATTTTGTAGAGCCAAATCTGACTTTTGGCGCCCCAGGCCTCTACAGAATGAAGAACCTGCCACAAATCTAGCAAGGGGGGTTCTCTACAAAATCAGGGCACCCAACCCCCTTTTTTGGGGTGCACTTTTGTGATTTTCAGAACCACTGCCCCTACAAAGTGGGGAACCTGACATGAGCACATATTTAAGCAGAATTGCTACTTGGAAGAAAGAAAACCATCAAAAATACAGAGATCCATTTTGTAGAGGGAAGATGTGAAAGAACCTTGGTCTCCCCGTCTCACCTGAAAACCCTGAAATGTACAAAAATCCATTTGGTAGAGGCAATTTCTGTTCCACATTTCCAGATTTTGTAAAATCAATTTAAATTGTATATATTTATGCCCATGAATGTTGACAAACCCCAAAACCTCTACAGAATGAGGAACCTACAGTTTCAGCCATCTACAACATGCATCAAAATGCTCCCACTACAAAATCAGGAACCTGTCCTTGCACATTCTTGCAGGCACTTAGGCTGTCAAAAAAATGGTTTTGACGGACCTCTACAGAATGAGGAACCTGCCACAAATCTAGCAAGGGGGTTTCTCTACAAAATCAGGGCACCCAATCCTTTTTTTTTGGGTGCACTTTTGTGATTTTCAGAACCACTGCCCCTACAAAGTGGGGAACCTGACATGAGCACACATTTAAGCAGAATTGCTACTTGGAAGGAAGAAAACCATCAAATATACAAAGGTCCATTTTGTAGAGGGAAGATGTGAAAGAACCTTGGTCTCCCCGTCTCACCTGAAAACCCTGAAGTGTACAAAAATTTATTTTGTAGAGGCAATTCCTGTTCCACATTTCCAGTTTTTGCAAAATCAATATAATTTGATCCCCGAAAAAATGACCTGGGGGGGTT